CGTCTCTTCTTTCCTTTCTCCTCGTATCCTCTCTACCATGCATTCCCTCTTCTTACGGCACAACCCGGACACTCGTACCTACCATGGTTCCAACACCATGCTTCATATCCCCATTGTTCTCATCACTATTGTTCTTTTCGCCATTGTACTATGTGGTCACAACACCACGTGACTCCTTTGTCCCCATTCGCTATTGTTCTCCGATTAGTCAGCGACCGTGTACTTTAGTATATAAGGACAGGTCTTGCACTGGGCACCCCAGTTTGACCTCTTGTACCAATCAAGCGTTCTCACTCCCTAGACCCCTTGTGACCTCGAACCCCCAGACCCCCAGTGAACCGGTGTGCTAAGCTTGTCATCAGTCTGCGTCCTCGTTGTGCATAACCTGCACACGACCTCTTGAGTGCTGACACGCTTCGCTGTAACATTAGGTCAAACTCTTCTTTACGCCGGCTTCTCTAAGCCTAGGCATACCTCTACCTGAACGAGCTGGCACCTAAGCGAGACTGCTCAGACAAACACCACACTTACCACGCCAAAGCCAAGGAAGATCAACATTGGGAGACTGAGGACCAGCACTGGCACGTCTGTGACAGCCAACCCTGCGACAATCGTCTTTCTGGATACAACTGGACCAAAGAGGAACGAAAGGCATTCTACCCCCTCTGTGTACCCACTCCAACCCAACGAGACCTCATCCTAGAACGGATCAACAACCCGCCTCCACCACCCGCAGAGGGAAGTCGTCCTGTACGTGAAGCTGCACAAGCTGCAGCGAGTCGTCCAGGAATCCGTCCACATAGCCGACCTCAGAGTCGTGTCCCTAGCCGAGCCCCTAGTCGTCTCCCCAGCCGCACCGGCTCCCCAGCATTAGACTCCTCCCCTGCAGGAGGATCTTGTATTCCCCTTAGTACCACTCTCGCATTAACTGCCGAACGAACCGGATTCTCCGGAATCACCCCTCAACCGACTACTCAGGCAACCCAGACCCCGGCAAATTCGCCCACTACTGCGTCTACAGCGTCCCCTCCACCTACCCAGACCAAACCCATTACCACTCAGCCACTTGTCATCATGGGAACCACCCCCCTCCCAGCTAAAGTAGTTGAAAGGAAGATTCGCCAACCATCGGACTTCTCAGGGGATCGTCTCGAGGCCAGTGCCTTCCTGAACACCTGTAGGACGTACCTCCGCGTCAACAAGGATGCTTACCCTGATGATGAGGACAAGGTGATCTTTGTCCTGTCGTTTCTGGTGGGAGGAACGGCAGCCCCTTGGAGGGAAGCACGAGAGGAAGATACCTTCACCGTTGTAAGTGGCAAGGAGAAGGGATTTGGGACCTTCAACGACTTTGTCACGGAATTCAAGAAGGCGTTTGAACCCCTCTCTCCTACCTCCGACGCCATCACCAAGCTCAAAGCCCTGAAGCAAACAGGCCTTGCAGAGGACTACGTCGCCCTCTTCCGACCCCTCGCAGCACGTTCAGGGGTCAAGGAATTAGAAGTCCTGTCGGACTACTTCTTGTCTGGACTGTCCGCTGGCCTAGTCCGAAACATCCTCTCTGCACAAACACTCCCCACCGACATAGAAGGGTACTACACCTTAGCTGTTAGGTTGGACCTGCAGTGGCGTAAAGCCACCGAATATGCAAAGGCCTCCAAACCGTCCCAGTCGACGTCAACCTCCTCGAAACCCACGGGCTCGAACCCCTCCAACCCTGTGCGCTTGCGAAAGCTGACGGACGAAGAACGTGCCCTACTCACCAGCAAAGGGGCCTGCTTTCGCTGCCGTGAGGTGGGCCACATTGCCCAGAAGTGCCCCCTCCGAGGAATGATCCAAGGCAAGGCGCACCTAAGCCT